TATAGAGAATAAATATATCAATGGTAAATAGTGCCTGCCAAAAGAAGCTTTTTTATATGTAGATACACTTGGAATTAAATCATACAAAAAACTACGTTCATTATAGCTTATGTGTGTGTTATTTTCTGTTTTTTGTTTTAATTTCCTTATTTTGTGTCTTTCTTATGTCTGTGTGTGTATCGTTAGGATGTTTTCCAGTACCTGGAAAAAGAATTACTCCTCGTGAAAATAAAACCATCGATTTAATACTTATTTGCAAATAATCGTTCTACAACTTCTATTGATCAACTTTTTTGCGGAATATAGCAAAATATAGAGTACATTGGGCAAGGTTGTGGATAATTAGAAGCGAAAATCAAAATTATGAAGGAATTCTATTTCGAAATATGAACATTGAGTGATAATCGATCCGATGGAGACATTCTATGATTCTGAAATAAAGCTTCACAAAGATGTCTGAATACATAGAAAGCTTTAGATGACATTAGAATGTTACAAGAAGCTTTTCCTCTTTCTTAGTACCCCTAAAAGATCAGAAATAAAGCTTTCATTTCTGTTATTTTTGAATTTCATCTTGGGAAACGTATTTTAAATCAAATTTACATTTTTAAATCGTAATAATCTCTCTACAGATTTATTTCATGATTCTAGTGCTCTTCCAATTACATTATCTGTCATCGTAAAAAGTATCATTTATTCCTTTATTTTCCTTTTATTTTTTAAAAATAAAGTATTCCTTTATTTATTTAACTTTATTTTTTAAAAATAAATGATCATTTATCTTTATTTTTTAAAAATAAAGGATTCATTTATCTTTATCCTTTATTATAAAGGAAAGTAAAGATAAAGGGTCACCCCTAAATGGTTCAATGCGAGCCCTGAAAAAAAATTTCTTTTAATATTATCATTATTAATTGTATATATTGCGTCCTTTGGTGTTCCTGCAAAGTTTTCATACTATTAATAATGACATCAAATGAAAAATTCTTATGATTATTCAAGGCCATAATTAACTCGATATCAAATTAATTTATTTCGATTTGAACAGCAGATGAATACTATACATGCTCAGCTTACTGTGGATTCTAGTAAAACTTAATCCTCGCTTCCCCAGAATTTTTGCGACATGATTCGAATAACATGATATCGCAATACTCACCCAAAATGTCTGATGCGTTGGCAACTGCTGTTATACTTTACATTTTGCTTTGTGAAAGACTATCGTGAAGAGATCACTACAAGTACAGTGCAAATAATGCAAAATACGAGTAAATTTTTTTAAACATTTTTTTATATACTATTCGATAGAACTCTACGAGCTGATTAAGAATATATAACTTTTAATGTTTCACAATGTTACTTTTGCATGAAAAAGTAGAGGAAACTAGAATGGCCCAATAATTCGAAAAAAAAATGACTCTTCGAAAACAATGATTTTTTTCCATTTGGGTTTTTAGTTGCAAAAATCGAATTATCTCTATTTGTGGCTCCAAAAGACTATTCCTTTTCTAGACCGTTTGTAGGGATTCTATATTAGCTTTTCTATAAGATTGTAGATCATATATGAGACTTTCGGTTTCTAACTATCAGCTCCCAAATCGCCCCATTATTTTGGTAGACAACTTAGACTGAAAATGGCGATTTTAGTAAAAAAACTGAACTTTACCAAGGTCTTCCTGAGAGAATACAACATCATACTGAGCTCAAATTTTTATTACAGTTAAGTCTCTGCGAGTTTTACTTGCAACAAAGATCTCAGCTCTCTATCTACTTTGAATCACGAGATATAAAGCTCTAAAATCACCAAAAATAGCAAATTTTGCCTGTCTAAGGGAAATCCATAATATACAAAGGGCTCAATCGTTTGAGCTCAAATTTTTTTTATAGGTAAACCTCACTGATGTATGCATTCACAAAAACTTTCAGCTCGATCAATCGAATTGTTCTTGAGATATTAAGCAGGGAGTATCTCCAATTTTGGAAGTCTTGATTTTTAGAGCTTCTGGAAAAATTATTAAAAATCGATGGTTCAATATTTTGGAAATGGCTTACACGAAAATTTATAAAACACTTACCTCTACCACATATCTGAAATTGAGCAAAATCTGAAGATCTCAATTGAACATATACGATCGTGGCTTACATGGACTGACTTCTATAGAGGTGAAAATCGAAGTGATATGGTCCTACTATTTTTCTTATACTATAATATAAAAGTCTAATATTTTAGATTTGTGCTTAATTTCAGTCGGGCTACTCTACGACAAAAAATATAGGCGATCGTGGATAATCATGTGTTTTACAAAAGACCCTCAATAGAAGGCCATGCAAAAAGTAGAGATGTGTCCAAACACTATATAATAACATACTCGTTTATTTTGAGGGGATTTAGCTTCTTATCTTCGAAATAATTCACAGCGGATGAGTTGGTTAGGACCAGTACGAGACGATTAGGAGGAGGGATCCCGTATAATGGTGAGTTTCTTGTCTCCCCTATAACTTTTTCAGAGCGAGAAGAATAGCAGGAAATAAATAGTGTTGGAATAGTGAGAACTACGAAGGCTGACAAGAGAACATCACATCATCAAGTGATTAGTCAACAAAATTATTTATATTGTAGATCATTTCTTTCTTGTATGCGTTGTAACTTTCTATTGTCGCTATTATCCATTCATTTGTACTGTTGATTGCGTAAAAACCAGTGACGACGACGAAAAAGCATCGAAGAATAATCGCTTTCCTCTTCATCGAAAACGATCGTGCTTGATAAAAAAAAATGAATAGATTATCGTTGTTCAAAAAGAAGACAATTGAAGGTTAGTCATTCATTTTTCCTTACTGTCTTGAAAAATTGCAATTTGCTCATGATCTTATAGAAGGCAGTCGAACGATCCGAGCCAATGATCATGAGAATAATGTACTCAAACGATATGCTGTAAGAAGATTCAAATGATCAAAAGTGAAATCTTGTGATCATATTTGACGAGAATTATCATTTAGGGCAATGAAATATCGACATCAAGATACAATCTGATAACTTTTGTACCGAAAAATCTCTTCGAACAATTCACTCGATTAGCCAATGCATACTTTTTATTTCAACTTTGCTTACAAGTAGATAGAATTGATAATTATCTTTCCGAATAGTTCAATTGTATTTTGTGGAACTCATATATTTTCCTTCGTAAAATATGCTCCATAGCAACTGGGGTCACATGTCAACGGTACATTCCTATAGCAACAGTGGAGGGGAGTGATTAGCAAGCGTTAAGATGTAAGTTTGTCTACTAATGAGGTGGTGTTCGTTAGCGAGTATGCTACCATAGGAGTCGCGTCAAAGGTCAACACATGAGTTCTCATAGCACATCAGGTAGGCTTCCTAGGAATTATGGTGTGTTATGAATAATATTAATGCACAATCTTCTTAGTTAACGATAACTATATGATGTACTATCTCCATCTCTTTGTTCTCGAACGTCTATTTAAAAAAACAGAGCTTGTGAGTTCCACATTTTAGCTCCAAAGAGCGATGCTGACAAGCTTTTCCGTTTGTCATTGACTATTTTTTTAGCTAATACCACAAGTCAGTTCTCTGCGACCCGCTACAACAGCCTTTCCACTTGTCATAGTATTGTCCTTGACAGCTATCAAGGATGCCAGTGATGACATTGTAAGACAAATCTATTTAATCCTCCGATAGTTTTCGATAGATTATTTATAGGCGAGACATCGAAGTGATAATCAAATTAATAATCGCCAAACAAGTACATTTGTCGATGGACAGCTTACAACTAGAAAGTGGCGAGAAATTAATGCTGGTGACATTATTCAATTGACTAACGATGAATTTGTCACAGTAAGTACAAATATTGATATTTGTTATGAGTGAAACTGAATTCGAATCAAGAAGAAAATGGCTGATTAAAATCATTTAAATATAAATTGAGTTTCAATTGATTCTCTTTGGTTCTTTGCGATTTTCGATAATTTTTAGTGATTTCCAGCGAGTTTTCATCCAATGAAACTCATTCACACTAATAAAACTCACAAGTAGTTGTTCGCTGGTGGATTGAGACGTGAAAATTCTCAACTTCTGAACAAGACTATCTGAAATTGTCTAACAGCAGAACATCTATGAACTCGTTCTGATGAATGAATACGCATTGATTTCTCTATTGTTGAATCTTGACGAGTGATAATTGCTGAACAAAGCTTCAGCGTATATGACCAAGGCCATCACTATTTGATCTGAATCGGCTAGGAAATCGTCGAAAATTTCTATAAAACTTGCGTCCGGAATTCGGTGACATAGAAATCGCTAGAATCGACTGTTTTCGTTATATTCGTCGATTTTCCAGTCGGTTTATGACGTTTCTGATGTTCAGAACGATCGACCTGCAAATTTTTCACGTTTGATGTGCGGGACGATGATCGATTTATTGTTTCTTTTAATCTTGATTCACTATTTCAATGGATGTTTGATCTTCAGACTTTGTTTTTTTTTGTCAGGCCGATATTATCCTTATTTCGACCAGCGAACCCAATGGATTGTGTTATATTGAAACAGCAGAACTCGATGGGTGATTAATCAATTGGAAACTTCTTAATTTTGGAAACCAATTCTTTGTTTGTTCAATTTTCAGTGAAACGAATCTGAAAGTTCGATACGCACTCCGAGAAACTTGTGATATTAAAGATAATATCAACCAATTGTCCACTTTTGATGGTAAGAATTATTATAAAACATTGTGAAATCGTGGAATTTTTAAAAATGATTTGATTTTCTATACGATTTTATCCAGCTGAAATCGAATTTGAAGCACCGAATGTCGATCTCAATAGATTTGAAGGCAATTTGAAATGGAAAAATAAGATCTACTCATTGAAAAACGATAATCTTCTCTTGCGCGGTACTCGATTACGAAATACCAAATGGGCCTTTGGCAGTAAGTCTTGCTTTAATATTTCTATGTACAAATTCGATTTTCAATCTGAATAGTTGTTTGTTATGCCGGACCTGATACAAAGCTAATGAAAAATAGTGGCAAAGCAAAATTCAAACGGACTAAAATTGATCACATGCTCAATCGTTTTATTCTTGGGGTTAGTAAAAGAAGAAGAAAAAAAAATTTTTGTTCGATGAATATGATCGTTTTACTTTGAGATATTTTTGGTTCTTCTAATTATGTGTGCTATCATGACTCTCTGCTGTGGTCTTTGGGAGTCGTTTGTTGGTTATAATTTTCGTATGTATTTACCATGGGAAAGTTATATATCGAATGATTCACAGATTGGTGCTGTTGAACATGGTTTATTGGTCTTTCTATCATATATTATTATTTTGAGTACTGTCGTACCAATTTCACTTTATATCAATGTCGAAATTATTCGTCTTATACAGTCCAAATGGATCGATTGGGATTTGAAAATGTACTATGAACCGTACAATATTCCAGCAGAAGCACGTACTACTACGCTTAATGAAGAACTTGGACAAATTGAATATGTCTTCTCGGATAAAACAGGAACACTAACACAGGTAAAAATTCGTTGGATCGGCCTGTCCATATAACAGCAGATTTTGTCGGTCTCAGAGAATCAAGCAGAAATAAGGGTAGTCATGCTATGAAACATCATATTTTTGATACATTTAGTCTCTGACTACATTTTTGACAGATCTTCCAGTTACTTCAGGAACAAATAACACTTGTAAATAGGGATGAGCAAGCTAAACTTTTTTGGTCCCGGTCAGCCATAAAATTTCAAAAGAATATTTGTGAAGCTATATTAAGTATCAATCTTTTGACGTTGTAAGATTCTTAAAAACATCTTATTCGCAGTCAATCATTTGTTTTATTCTTTTTTTTTGATGAAAAAAATAGTAATGGACATTGTAAGCAAGGCACGTTTGAGAATGGATACCGGAATTATCTTTTCGAACCTTGGATCCGTCCTATAATTATGCAAATATCGTTAAGTGAGATCTCGTCACAACGCTTTTTTCTAGCTGCGAAGCCGATTTTTTTAATATTTTTGAGTTGTACTTTTTTTTCTAGATATAGCTCGTCATCTAGGCTATAACTTCGCTAAGAGAAGAATTTTCATTACATTTGTAGTTAAGCGAAAATTTTTAGTGCTTTACACAGCACTCAACTTCAAATTCACTTTTCATAATTTCATCACAAGCTTTTATATAACTGTAAAGAAAGGCATCAATCTAATGAAACATTCCTCATATGTCGGGCGATTTGACTTAAATATATTCTGAAAATGTCAGCCTTATTCGATTTGATTGTGTTGAGAAATTGAAGAGACAAAAGCGAATAAAAAAGTAATTCGTGGACAGATCGAGATATTCGTATGTCTTATCATGACCTCGATATATGTTGATTTATAGAACATAATGACATTCAAGAAGTGTTCGATCCGTGGTCAACTCTATGGCTATGTATTAGACGAAGCTGGTAATGAAATTCAAGATCTAGAGGTATGACACGAGCATTATTTAGACTTGACTGATATTCGACTGAAATCAAGAAATTTTGTAAAATGACTATGGCAAAAACTTTTCTCTGTTTTGTGAGCTATTTTGTTTTGATGGGAAATTCAGGAATGTTGTCGATTTTGTCTTGTTTACATTCTTCGTTAGAAACTCAAATCAATTGAATTTGCCGAACAGAACAAAGAATTTGTTTGGTATGATCAAAAACTAATCGATGACATCAAACATGACGATCGCAATGTTCACAATTTCTTTTCTCATCTTGCTCTATGTCATACAGTTATGCCCGAAGAAAAAGACGGTCAAATCATCTATCAAGCTCAATCACCAGATGAAAATGCACTCGTCAGCGCTGCATGCGTATTTGGCTTTGTCTTTTGTGTAAGTCAGAAAGAAAATAGCAATACATGTTTTGTTTTTATTCAAAATATTAAAAAGAGAACAACATCATTTTCGTTGAGGGAGTGATGCATAACCATTAAATTTTTCTAATACTGGGTGTGCCTTTTATTCCAAAATGACAGTTGAAAGAAACATCGGTTAAACAATTTTGTATGAAAAAGTTCTGAAGGCTTATCTATAATCAGAAAAAAATCAGCCAAGCTGATTCAAGCCAAGTGGAGATATTAAAAATTTTTATCGTAAAGGTATTTATGGCACACTCGGTATTGTAAAAATACTGTGTTAGCTTGAATTCCAGTTTGCGAGCATCGTCTCTTGGTTTACTAATCTAATTTATTGAATTGTCTCATAATACAGAAAACCAATTATTTCAGGAAGTATGTTTCTTCCGTTCAAGTACATTGCTTCTTTAATTTCCGTGATTCTAAATTCTTTCATATCTGCTTTTGCTCTTATTTGTTGGTTCAGCATTCTTACGTGGGTTAAGCATTTTAGTCTCATCAGGACTGCACTGACAAGGTTTTAATTGTATTTCTAGTACTTGAGGCTAAAACATAGGTGCAGAAGCATAATATTAATATTACCTTTATGTTATTTAATGCTAATACAGTTAGATCGACTTAGACTTTTCGAAACGAATGCTAGAAGTAAAGTGTCGGCAATTCAAAAGTTGAGCAGGAATTGTTTTTTTCGACGTTTTTGACATTGTTGGATAGAACTTGTCAAATTGAATATGAAAACACAGGTTTTAGATTTTTCTAAGCCCCATTTTTCAAAAACAAAATTGTGATATCCTTTTTCCGAAAAAGCTCAAACTTAATGATCATACAAGAGGTAGTCTGTAGTTTTGATTCTCGGAACTAGTTTAATGGGAATCTCAATGCAAAAATTGTTTATTGAGAATTGAATTTCAACAAAACAAAACGAAAAATCAGCAACTATTTGGAAGATAAGAAATCAGTTTATTAGTGGATCGAAAATAATCAATATATGTTTTTCCAAAAGTATCAAGTCTTCACCAGTAAAACATAAAACTGATTTTAATTTCATGATCATAATAACTGTAGTTATACGAAAAATATGATATACCGGTTTCTCATTATTTATTGGTTATACTGAGAACATCCATTTTTTTGAAATTAGTGGTAATGTCACGGAAAATAGAGCCCAAAAGCGAACTGAACTGAACTGAACTGAACTCGAACCAGGCAAATTCAGTTCGATTTGGGTCTTGCCTACATGAGTTTTAAAAAGCGTCTGATATACTCAAACACGTGTTCTCATCTCTTTCCAAATGAGCTAATAGTTGAAGAGTAGTCAAATTAAGTGAATGTTAAAGGATTAAACTGTTCAAATCCCGCTTCCTTTAACTCACTTTCTTCATTACCGTCGAACTGAATCGAATCCAAATCCAGAAAAGTCAGTTCGTTTTGAACTGTGATGAAAAATGATATTTCATTTCGAAATATTTCCCATCAGAAACATATTCTACAAGAAAATGTATATGATATTTAGAATCAGCATAAACAACTGTGTAGCATAATATTCATTCTATTGGAAAATATTTTTCGTCAAAATCCCACTTGTGATGAACTTCGGGCAAAATTTCATGAGAAGGAGTAAGAGTGGAACTTTGACGAAAAACATTTTTCAATAAAATACGTGTTATGCTGCACAATTATTTATGCTGATTCCGAATATCATATGCATTTACTTGTAGAGTACGTTTTTGATGGAAAATATCTCGACATAGAATGTCGTTTTCCATGACTTTAGCACTAATTTCAAAAAAATGGATTTTCTTAGCATAACCAATAAATAATGGGAAATCAGTGCAGCATATTTTTCGTATAACTACAGTTATTATGATCATGAAATTAAAATCAGTTTTATGTTTTACTGGTGAAGACTTGATACTTTTGGAAGAACATATATTGATTATTTTCGATCCACTAATAAACTGATTTCTTATCTTCCAAATAGTTGCTGATTTTTCGTTTTGTTTTGTTGAAATTCAATTCTCAATAAACAATTTTTGCATTGAGATTCCCATTAAACTAGTTCCGAGAATCAAAACTACAGACTACCTCTTGTATGATCATTAAGTTTGAGCTTTTTCGGAAAAAGGATATCACAATTTTGTTTTTGAAAAATGGGGCTTAGAAAAATCTAAAACCTGTGTTTTCATATTCAATTTGACAAGTTCTTTCCAACAATGTCAAAAACATCGAAAAAAACAAATTTCTGCTCAACTTTTGAATTGTCGGCACTTATTCATTTTCAAATATTAACACTAAATGAAAAATATCAGCGTTTCTCAATACCTAATGGTAATTCACTGTCATTATTGTTGTCATTAAGAATCGTACTCAAAGTACTATTAGTGTTCGTCTTCAAGACAAGGAAGAAACCTACGATCTATTGCATATTCTTGATTTCAACAATGATCGAAAACGCATGTCGGTCAGTAGTAAACGAACACACACTTTTTGTTACTGTTCATTTAAGTATTTGTTTTCATTTAGGTTATTATCAAGAAGGATGGCAGAATAACGTTGTATTGTAAAGGTGCGGATTCGAAAATTAAGGAACGACTGAATCCGTCTGAGAAAGATATTATGGCTGAAACTGAAGAACATCTCACTGTAGGTCGATATATCTTGTATAGTTTTGTATTTGTAATACAAATAGGAATCGATTATCGCTAATAGAAATTTGCTAACGATGGTCTACGTACGCTTTGCTTAGCCTGGAAAGATTTGGACGAAATCGAATACAGACGATGGGCAGAAAAATTGAACCAAGCCAAGTAAGTTTCAAAGTAGCAAGCAATTATAGTCGAAGTGATCGTGATAGAAATTCGACAACGAGAGTATGAGACGATTCTTAGGATGTCGAATTCGTATTGAGAGAATTTTCTTAGTTAGAATTGAATTCAGAACAAAATTTCTCATCATTAAAATTTCTATTTAGGACAAGTATGGATAGACGCGAAGAAAAAGTCAATGATACATACGAAGAAATCGAAACAAATATGAAACTTCTCGGTGCCACTGGAATCGAAGATAAGCTTCAAGATGGTGTACCACAATGTATCGAACGTCTAATACAAGCTGGTATCAAAATTTGGGTCTTGACTGGTGATAAAGCTGGTTCGTAATCCTTCATAGATTTTTTGCATCTTTTTTTGTTTTGAATGATTCCATTTAGAAACGGCTTTTAATATTGGACTATCGTGTCGTCTATTGACGAATGAGATGGAAATTTATACGATTGAAGAAGAGAACGAAAACGACGTCATGAAACGATTAGATCAAGTTCGAAATGAAATGATTCAGAAAATTAAACAACTATTCAATGTCAATATTGAGGATCCAACGAAGCGACTTGATTGGAAAGATTGGGGTATTGATGAGATGAAATTCGATCAATATCGCAAAGCATCATGTAGTGTTGAGCAGACGAATCATAATCAGCGAAATAATGGTTTTACTACTATGAATACATATTCACAAAATCAAGAACAATTCGAAGGTTTCGGACTGCTCATTACTGGCCAAGCATTGGCTCATGCATTGACCGATAAAATAAAAATGAAATTTCTCGAATTGGGTACTATGTGTAAGACAGTGGTTTGTTGTCGAGTAACGCCACTACAAAAAGGTCTGGTCGTCGAATCGGTGATGCAGAATGAAAAAAAGATCACATTGGCGATTGGTGATGGAGCGAATGATGTACCCATGATTCAGAGTAAGTGCAATTTTTTTCTTTTTCATGAATCTGCGGTACGATCGATTTACTTGTTTTATCTTTTAAGAAGCTCATATCGGTATTGGTATTAGCGGTCAAGAAGGCCGACAGGCTGTACTAGCCAGTGATTTCAGTTTTGCACAATTTCGTTATCTTGAACGACTCTTACTCGTCCATGGACGTTGGTCATATTTACGTATTTCAAAATTTTTGCGCTACTTTTTCTACAAAAATTTTGTCTTCACATTGTGTCACTTTTGGTTCGGTTTCTTTTCGGGTTTCTCGGCTCAGGTATAAGAATTTCGATTTCGAGATTTCACTTTTTCTCCATTATTTTCCTTTGAAAATAGACTGTGTACGATCAGTTCTTTATCGGTACTTATAACCTTTTCTTTTCTTCATTGCCTGTACTTGCAGTGGCTGTCTTAGATCAGGTACGTCATTTGCCATTTGATTTATAGTAGAATTCGAACAGACAATGAAAATGTGGAGGGAAATTCATCGATTGATTTGACATAATCGATCATTTCTTGATGAATAGTGATGTCTTAATTTTATTGTATTTTTGAAGGATATCAGCGCTGATCATTCGTTGAGTAAACCACATTTGTAAGTCGATCATGTATCTATCGTTCGGTTGTTTGTAGTTTCAAACTATGTTGTTCTGTTGACTTGTTAAGATACATTCCTGGTCAAAAGAATGAATTTTTCAATAACAAAATATTTGCGAAAAGCGTTATTCATGGAATATTGACATCGTGTATCGTTTTCTTCGCGCCCTATCTCTTCGTATCGAATAGTACACGATCCGATGGTATGACCCAAACCGATTTACAATCATTTGGTTTTATAATAGCAACCATAGTTGTCATTGTTGTCAATCTTCAAAATGCTCTTGAAGCTTGGTACTGGACGGGCTTGTATCATTTCACTCTCTGGGGTACAATTCTTGCCCATTTTCTCTTTCATTTTGCTCTCTACTCGAGAATAATATATCAAGTTTTCCAAACGAATTATGGTTATGTCGGCGTGGCTCACACTGCGCTATCGACTGGAAATTTTTGGTTTACATTATTTCTTACTTGTGCCATATTATTCTTGCCCATGTTCTGTCGCGAGTACGACTCATTTGTTTTGTGCTTTCTTTTTTTTGTTCGATTCAAGAAATTTCCTTTAGATTCGTTCGTATGCGTTTCATGCCAACTACGACCGACAAAGCCCGACTCAATCAAAAGTTTCGTAACGAAGAAAAAGCAGCTTTCGTTGCATATATTGCACCACAATTACGTCATAGAAAGCGATCTATACGATCAGGTTATGCATTTTCTCAACAAGAAGGTTGGGGTGAATTGATTGCATCAGGACAACTGCAAGTCAAATCGACATCCCGTGCACAATCTTCACAAGCGAGTTATGTGAGTAGATCATTGTCTTGCTTTTTTGACAAATAAAAAACAAAAACAAAATGATTTTATCTGTGAATTTCTCATTTGATTTTGAATATCTATCTAGATGAGCAACAGAATACATCCAATCGATACCAATAGATCCTCATTGAACATGGCGACTTCTACCAGCACGACCAGCAAGACGACGAACAGAAGAAAGTGAAACTTCAAGTACCCTATCAAGTAGATAATGGAAAAATGCGCATTAAAATGCATGAAACGCATCATCTTCCGCGACATAAAGCACTACAATATTTTTTTTCTTATTTCTAAAGCTGAAAATGGAATTAAAATTATTGTTTTAATCACATCATGTATCTTTCAATTGAACTTAAGACGAAACATATTTGAGGGATCCCATCACAACGAGTTTGAAATCACTTTATCGTGTGGAAATTTTGATGAATATCGCTAATATTAATGTTTTAGCTGACTTCATTTATGTTAAAAAGAGAAAGAACCAAACATTGTTGTTTTTAGGCTTTCTCCTTACTATTAGGAGTATGATTTTGTTCAATTTTCTAAGATTTCCAAGGATTACATCATTCTTAGCAAAGAACTAAAGAAAATGAGTAACATCGAATACGCGAGAGTGATTAATTAGAATACCATATGTATAAATCCAATCTAAGTGTTCATTTGATTGATTACTTGTTGTTTTTGACAATTCAGTGATAGTCATCTGAAATATTGTTCATGTCCATTGTCAGATATAAAAAGTTTGATAATTACCCTAAGAAACTGCTGGAAATAGAAAATAACAATTGAACAGATGAATACATCGTTGTCAAAACTATGAGTTCCTTCATCACTACATCGCATACTTGGAACTACTCATGATTCACCCAATTTCTGTAATATGATGATATCAAGAATTTCGAAAAATTCAGAGTTCATATTTATCGTACTAGGATTGTTTTACTCAGCATTAGTAACACACTTGAAACATCTAGAGCCAGTACAAGTAAAAGTGCACACTTTTTCAATTTCCAGTCGAAAAACAAGAATAATTCTGTCACTTTTCCTCGGACAAAAAGAATTTCCGTCAGGTTGCATACAGAGCAAACATTTTTTCTACAAGTCTGTCTTTTCCAATTTTCAAAATGTCATGGCAATCAACTTCTACAGCGTTTTTCCCCGAGAGCTCAAAACAAGCCTGTTAGCGCAACCCCTTTAGGGCTGAATTGTGGAACTCACATATACTCTCTAGTCCCATTAAACTAATAACAAACATGTAAAATGAGAAACCTCTCGAAGACTACGATTGTTTTGTAGGATAATCGCAAATTAGAGTAAGAAACTTCCCAACAAATCCATACGATAAGCGTTATCTATATTATAATTATTAAATGAATCTTCAGTAGAAATGTGTCGAACAAAAAATATAATTAGGTTTCTTTTGCTTATGAGAATATTTACTTGCATAGGTCATCTCTGTCAAAGGCTATGATGTATTTTCGTTAAGTATGTTTTTTTTTACTAAGAATTTTAAATGTATCTTGTAAATTGGCTATGAATAATTCAAAAATAATCATATTCAAGAAAAATTTATTAGTGTAATTCTGTGAGATTAACATATGAAATACGATGTATATCAACAACATTCATCAAAGTCTGTGATGAAGGTCCATATTTGTATTGCTGTACTTCAACATTCCTTCTATATCGTGTTTCACAAAACAAACAGTTTGATTTACTATCATCAAGTATTCTATTATTTTTAAGCTATGTTCCACAAACAAATTGATAAAAATTCTCGCATAGTTCAACCAATTGATTAAGACTGTCGATTAGATAATCAACTGTCAAACAAAATAACAGTTCTTTCTTTGTTTTTTAACACAATTGACACGATTCGATTTTACTAGAGAGTAGCTCTACAGATTCATTTTCGTGTGTATTCATCTTTCAATAAATGCACTTCTTGGTCTTTTCATTCTGTGCTGATCTGTTGTTTTCTCTTTTCTGTTTGTAACATCACATGGACCAAAATAACCGTTCTACAGTTTGGTGAAAGTTTTGTCAGGTCTTTTCTGCATGGCATACATTTCGAGAAGCTGAATCAGCAACACATTTCAAGGGCGAATTCACTGATTGTAAGCTCGAAGAAAGGGAAGGATCTATGCACAATGTCGGCAGATGTTCTACTGATTGCTATGCAAAGGGAAGGACACAACTGTCAAGAGAAGCGAGCTATGCTACAACAAAGAAAGTAAAAACCTTCTGTTCTAACTGTGATAAATTTTCTTGTCTTGATTGTTTTAACAAGAAGCATCATGCTATGGAATAACCGACTTAAAATAAGAACTGAAGGCAGAACAGATAACACATTATGTTTAACCTGCTGCCTAAGAAAAAAGCAAAATAAAGTGCTTTCCTATACAGTTTCTCGTTAAAATATAGCACGGCCACCGGTGAACCACATCATGGCGAATGTATTAATGAGGCCCCGTGTATATATGTCTATGATCCCATAAATCCATTCAAAGTTTAGTTACTTTCTGGTTATGACTCATTCCTAATCAAATGATCATACAAAATCATATGACTGCAAAATATAGATACAATCTATGCAATACCGAGAGAAAAGAACACTGATTTGTGAATAATAACCTACCACCAAAATTTCTTCTATCCTCAGAGGACAAAACTATGCACCATTACATAAACAGAAGGCTGATGATGTGTTCAAGGCCATAAAAAGAAATACTTAAAATTACAATTAATGTGACATAAACTTCGCTAAGCGTTTTACTAAAAGGAGAATAATATGATAGAAATAAGATGATCGATAGTTAAGTTTAGAATTTCATTGGTTTATCTATTTTTATGGAACATATATCCTTATTTTCATAACACTAACATTTTAGATTTAATTTATTATAATACATGAATATCAGAAGACACAAAGAGCATTATGTTCCAAGTCTTTCAGCATTCATCGAAGCCACTTTTAATGCCGATATCATTTGTGAGATTCTTTTTTTGATGTTCATCGAACTGACTCTACGATTCGAACACCATAAAAGCATTTACATATTTTGATTGAGCGATGTATTCATTGATATTGATGTCGATTACCAAAATAATACTAAACAAGAGATCGAATGGACATCGATATAGTCGACTACGGACAAAAATATATTCTTTTTTCAATTCTCTCTTTTTCTCTTTCTCATGTATTAGCATATTTACATTTCTATGTCATGATTATAAGTAGCAAAGTCAGCTGTTTTTTTGTATACACATATTATATTTTATTTACATATTCTGTTGTTTTATTTTGTATTTATTTCAAAATAATCTATTTTTGTGATATTTAGAAAGCACAAATAACAATGCAAATAAGAAAAATGTCCTATTTAATCATTTTTTGTTTTAGAGTGTAAGTATGCCTACATTGTAAAATAGAAGATAACTTATAGAGAACAAGTGAAAATATTCGAGGAATGCCTATACAAATTCATCAATGAATTTCTACTTTCTTAAAAATACGATATTCAAGAAAATAAAAATTAAAAAATTCGATTTTCGAAGTAGAAAATCGAACGTGAATTCCTATGGATATTTCTAGAATTTTGCATTGAACTTAGCGACTCGAACATTGTCAAAAAATTGGAAAATCAATTTTCATTATACAATTGAGTTTCTTTCATTTATTTTATTCCCCATTTAAAACATATAATGCAAAAAGATAGAAGTAGTTATAATCTGATGAAAAAAAAAACTTTGAGAGTTACTACCAATAGAACTAGCAAATAGTTAATTTTAAAAAAGTTGAGAAAAAATTGCACAAAAGTACACAAAGATTAATTTTTAATAATTTTAATCGATTTTATTTGTATGATTGGATAAGTTTTAATTGCTTCCTAAAATAAACAATAATAAAAATAAATAATGAGATTTATACAATAATTTAAATGGTCCTAGATTACTAATATGATTTCATAATCGGTTTTTGGAGCGTTTGTAACGTTTCACAATCAAACATTCCAATATGAAAACCGGTTGTTCTCCTAAATTAAAGAAAATACTATATATAGATTAATACAATGTATTATCTTCAGAAATATTCTTTTTTTGTTTGATGATTCCAATATCTGAATAATTTTGTACAACTCGATTTTAATGTTTAAACTATTTCTATACCAAATAAAATACAGCGAAGACTGATTTAATTTTACGAATCAGCTGTTCATAGAAAAAAAAGTAAAAATAAATTCATATGTGATTTTGATATTATGCCAGCTTATTTAAACGAATCGTTCAAACTCAGCAATATTTTAACGAGTTATTATAATCGATAAAAAAATACACTCTAGGACTTACCAAGTGGTTACTGATAAAGCTAGATAAGGTTAGATGATTCTTTTAATTAACTTGATCTCTTGAACAATACATTGATGATATGCATATGTAATATTCGTTTTAGCTTTAACTGGATCATCATCATTATTTGTTGCATTAATTAAAACATACAGAGAATATAAAAGAATAGTTTGGTTTATACTCGACGAAATACTTGGTTAATCTTCTCATATTTCAACTTTTGCCCTGACATTTGATAATCACATGATTGTTGTTTTTTCATGGATGCCTCAGACGAATAACGGTATATCTTGTCGATCACGAGAAAATTTTTGCCTTACTATTGATGCTAAAAATATCTAAATGAGAAAAAAATAAAGATAAAAAATTTATTCGATCTTGTATTAAACATACCATATGTTCATTGAATATGTTACTAAACGCTGCATATTTTTTTTTGATGGTAACTATTATTCGATCAAATTCAAAAGATGTCGGATAAAAATCAACACCATAAGTATTGACTGCATTATGATGAATTATTTTATAACAATTATTGTTTCTTTTATCATCATGATCTGAAGTTTGTTGATGATGGCTCTTGAACAGCTTCTTGAAAAGCTTTATCAAACCTTGGAAGCACATATTGTAATAAAATCTTTTTTCTTGATTGAGATGTTGTTGAACTTGTTGAAGAATTGTTTGATAGTTGATGGATCATTGGTCAAATGGTGCATCGGTCAGTTATAAATTATTTGAATTCAATAATGAATGATCAACAATTGAGTTGATGTATATAAACCTGGTAGAGGTGTTTTAAGTTGGTGTAGCCGTTCTTTGTAGCCGTTCTCTGTAGCAGTGTACATTATCATCATTGAAATCATTGAAAAATCATAGATTGTTTAATTCATAGAAGTGTAATTATTATTGAAATGTATCAGATATTTTTTGTTTAATATCACAGTTCTACTAAAACAGAAAAGTAAACAAAGTTAAT